TTCCAATGCAACGGAGCCTACCCTTTGCCATGATTCCTATGCGGTCACCTAAAATATCTGCTTCTTCCATAGAGTGCGTGGTGAGGACAACTGCCCGTCCTTTCTTTGCATCCTGTATTATGTCCCATACATGTCTTCTTGTGATCGGATCCATACCAGTTGTCTGCAGATTGATAATAAATGTAAATGATTAAGAATCCTTCGCATAAACTGATAAGCAAAATGGATATTAAAATCTCCCACCGGTTCATCCAGGAAAACCAATTTAGGGTCTCCTATAAGAGCAACTGCAACACTGAGGCGGCGTTTCATTCCTCCACTGTAACTCCCAGCTCTTATTTTAGATGCCTCAGTTAGTTTTACCTCTGCCAATGACTTCTGAACTACCTGCGTTTGTATCAGAATAGTTATAATATATGTTAAGTATCTATTACAACAAATAAGAATGCATGTTCAAATAACTTAAACGATGGCAACAAATAAGACTGATAAGTTGCTCTTCCTGAAGGTTAAAAGGCACGTACTTGCTTAATTAATGTCGTTGGCAGCCCTTTGATGCTAGAAAAGAGGTAGAGGTGCTCTTCACCAGATAAAGCATCCCAAAGGATATCAAACTGCAAAAGAATTTCAATATTAGTATATGTATAATGGACAAGCAATATAACAGAAATGGAAACCTGAACAGACACTGCATGATAGAAACTCACCTGTGGACAAACTCCTATTAGTCTCCGTATGTTAGACATGCCAACTGGACTTCTAATGGAATTTCCATAAATAAGAGCTGTTAACAAAACAGTTTTTTCAAAATCATTATGACTCAAACTCCTGTTCCCTTCTTAAGCCAACAGAAAAAACAAGCAAGGCTCCTGAGAAAAAGAGCAAAAAGGAAAGCAAGAAAGCTGCTTACCATCTCCATCAGTTACTGGTGTTATACCAGTCAAACAATTAATTGCAGTAGTTTTTCCAGCACCGTTGGGTCCAAGTAGACAAAATAATTTATCTTTTTCAATGTTCAGCCATAAGCCCTGTAAGTTCTTATGAGTTAGCAGTTGGTTCCACACAAGAAGACAAGTGCACAACATGATTGTAGAGTTGCCTTTTTGCTGTAAGCTGCTACTTAATGAGGGATAACATACACAAGAAAATAAACCTAACAAAGATAAAAATTCAAAAAGAAACTCCAGATTCCAGACTGAAAATCCTTTTCAATAATTGACCTAAATCTTTAATCTAAACCCGTAGTACCTATGGGTAGCAGTATTGACTACCTAAAAATTTTAAATTTCTCACAGCTTATACTCAGTCAGCATCATTCATCTGTCCCCCTCAGGCAACAAATGTTAAGGGAGGACATTTTTGAGTGGCAAGACAAATGACTGTGGCTGCATGTTATTATTATCTAATTTCATAAAATCTATTCTAACATAGATAGAATGTAAGTTCTGGCACATACTCTTTTGGTTTAACGGCAGAAAATAAATTGCATTGTACACTCTCATCAAGGACGGAAACTAAAATCGAAAATAAGACTTTACTTTAAGAGCATGGTATGGTGAGGTCTTCTTGCATTTACAGCAGAAACCAATATTTCTTGTTCCAGGATATGTTTTTGCAAGACCACGAATCTGGACTGCAACATTGGGATCAACAACACCTTGTCTTGCTTGCTCTTTAACAATAGTTTCCTCCTCAAGGACATCTTCATCGTCTGTAGGAATTTGTTCCAGAGGTGGAACTGAGCCCATGCAACTACAAATGTCACCCTCTATGCAGAATGGGGGGAAAAAAATGAGTCACAATAATTCGTTAACAAAAAAAAAATCACATGACTATAGTTCATTTGAAACTCAATTTTACCTTCCACCTTATTTCCACCCTTCCCTGTCCAATACCCAGGCCTTAAAAAGTAAAAAATTGATTTTCTAACACCAAAGGCATTTGGAATTATGTTGTCGAAGTATATAGCCAATACAATCCAAAGGAAAAACGTTCCAATGAGCCACAAGTAGATATCATTCTGTCAAAAAGTAAGAGAGATAAGTATTACTGTAATGACAATGATAAGATGCCATGCATGGTATTCCACGTGTTAAGAAGTTCAGTTTCCAAGTTTTCAAGTTTCACTTACAATTGTTATGACACAATCACTATCATCATTTGGTGCACACTCCATTCGTCTTCTCCAGCTAATTCCAGGATCCTGAGGAGTACTAGTTGCACCAGCAAGAAGATTTAAACCTTGAGAAAAAGGATTAGGTGGGAACAATGACCAAATGGCTCTAAGAGTAGTGGAAAATCTGCTAGCATAAGGGAAACCACCTGATGTGGATAGCTGAAAGAAGAAGAAGAGATTATTATGAACACCAAGGAACATAAGAATCTAGCTGTAGAGTTGTTTAGGAGAATTAACCTGTGTCACAAAACCAACTATGAAGACAAAGAAACCGACAGTGTTTGCTGAAGATGACTTGCTGATGAAAGCTGACAGAAAGAATGCTAGACCAATCTACCATCAGGATTCAGATGAAGCAGATAAATTGTTAAAAGATTGAAACAGAAAGTAGCAAATACATAAAACAAAAACATGATAAGAGATCAATTAGGCTGCAGGAACAAACATTTACCATATTGAATTGGAAAAGAAAGAACAGAAGGAACACAACTGCAAAACTGTTCTTCAAGAAAAAATCAAACTGGAACATCATTCCAAAAAGAACTATGAAAATTGATGAAAGAGTGGTAATGATTCCTTCCCATGTTAGCCATGACAACCAATAAGCAGAATCGAAAAGACCCATCATTGTCATTGCCTGTTTAGGAAGAGGAAGATTAGAAGGCAAAATTGGAATGAGGGTACTAATGGTAATTTTAAATCAGAAAAGAAATTAGAAATTATTCAGTACCTGGCGAAGTTTGAGCTCCTTCTCTGAAATCAAAGAACTTATTTGAAGCACAAAACCAAACATGGCAACAGCAAGGAAGAAAATTGGTCCCATGATATCAAGTGCAACAAGAGCCTCAATTGCAGGGTGTGCAAATTCCTTAAATCCGACAACCCAGCTAAAGTTAGAATCTGAAATGCATGAAAAGGGTGACAAATTAAGAATCTATTAAATAATCAAATTTAGAAATACAAGTCATTGTTAAATAAGCAAAGAACTAAATAACCAATATTTGGTACCTCCTATAAGAGACCTGGCAATTTCACGCTCTGCAGCAATCTGAAGAGGAATTTGGAATTTAAATGTGGGATCTTCAAAAAGCCCTCGTTTTGCTTCTGGGGTAGAGTTAGTTTGTATACCATAGCTAATTACAGTAGCATTTCTTGCAACGAAATGCAAAGCGCCTGGCACCCGCATAGGATTAGCCAAAAGCCATTCATCTATCTCCTGGGTTGTTCTAAATGATTTAACCTGCATAAACAAAGTCACCATGAGAATTCTCTTTTTTTTTTTTTTTTTTCAAATATAAAGCTCTATCTAATTCCTTAGTACACAAAATTATAGATATTGATGGAAAAAAGGTTGAAAAAAAAATTAACATTTACTTTAAAGCTAACCCACTGAATCATGTTTTTCAAAGACTGCACAAACGTAAGGATAGAAGAAGTAGACTCTCATGGTTTCTGTTTCCTGATCTACGGTTCAAACTTGAACTGACTGCTTTCTTCTTTGCTAGAACCAGAGATCATATCCAATTTACACAACAAAAGGTCCGAAGAACATTAGGGTTCCCTTTTCACCTCTTCTTTTCATTGCTTAAATGAACTAAGACTCATCACAAACAATGCCTTAGTTCTTTGTGCCATGAAATTACAAGATCTTTATACTCCTTACTAGAAAACATATAAACAAATGGCAAAGCATGCTCCAATACTTCACCATTTTCTGTCCTTGTCTATCATTTTCTTTGATTTTCTCACAGACCAAAGACATTTGTTAAAACAAATTGCACAACTCACTCTCACACTACCAACTCATTTTACTAACTATGTGATTTCATTTTTCGTTTCCTAAAAACCAGAAATGATTCGAATTCTTACTTTCTAATTCGACCAGACAGAAAAAAGAAGTCAACATAAAAGAAACTACCTTACTGTCCGGAATAGGTCTACCCGGATTTGTGGCCATGATCGCTCTGACGATGGTTGTAATTCTCTGGCTCTCGTTGCCGCTCCATACGAAGTCAAAGCAAGGGAGCTTAACGAAGAACTTCTCCTCACAAGCCGGAATTGGAGGCGAGATCATCAACTCAGGATCCTTGATGATCTTGAGCGCCGTGGAAGACGAGAAGCTAGTCTCCATCGCCTTCTGGATGCAGAAAATGAGGAAGATAAAGAAGAAGGATGAGAAGAGCTGCAGAAACGTGGCTCTCTTGCTCCTCCATGAGAGTAGTAGATTCTTCTTGAAGAGCGCCCAGAATTGCTGATACAGAAGAGGTAAGCCTCTCTGCAAATTCATTTTCTTTTCTTTGTCTTTGGCGGACGGTTGAGAGAGTCGATGCGGCTTTAAAAAGGGCGCGGTTATTATCAGTCGGAAAACTTTTTTAGCCACCGAGTTCGAGGGAATTACCAAATTGCCACTGGGTTTGAATTAGGGATTTTTCTTGCAAGTATCACCCGAATTTCCAAACAATTTAATTAATTTATTAATTAATACGTTCAAATTACCGAAAAATAATTAACGTGATCGGTTTATCAAAACGAATAAAAACTTTAATATAAGTTGTGTTGGAAATATAATTTAAGAAAATTACTGAATTTATTTGTAAAATTCATAATTATGAAATGTAAATTTTTAATAAAATAATAACAAACTTGATATTATAAATAAATTAGAATAATACATTTTAAATTTATTAAATTTAATAAAATCTAAAACATAGAATTTACAGGCGGTTTCATTTTTTTTTTAATTATCTTAATTAAAAAAATTGCATTATTTTTTAATTAAATTAAGTTATTAATTAATTTACAAAATATAATAAAAATACACTATATTAAACACATTATTTATTTTATTAATTAAACCAAACAATCACTAGACGTACAAGTTATGTACATTGTAAAAGTACAAAATTCAATAAACCCAAGCGCCAACTAATCCATAATTTTGAATATAGACTCGGGAAATTTCAGATATTATATATATATATATATGGTCATTTGTTTAATTAGTGTATTAAATTAATTAAATTTTTGCGAATTAAAAAAATAATTCTGATTAATTCTTCTATTATTATTAGTCTTTAATTTTATATGAAAGTAACTAAAATTAATTACCACATATTCGGATTTAATTTAAGTGGGAATTAATTTAAATTTTAATTACATTTAATTAAACACGGTTTATTAATTTAACTGATACTTCCCAGAAAAAAAAAAAAACGAGTCTCTAATTACGTTTGACCCAAAACCCATCATTTACTTTTCAAATCTTATTCTAATTTTTTTAATTATTAATTTTAATATATAAAACTATAACATATTTTTATAATTCTAAATTTGTATTAATCAAATGTCCATTTGAAAATTTTATTATATTATACTTAGGACTAAATGTCACTCAAATATAAAATTCATACACTAATTGACAACCTGTAAAATAAAAAATTATATTATTTTTTTAATAATTTAAACTTTGAAAATTCGGTTTATTTTTACTATTTAATAAAATAAAAAAATTTAGAGTTGACGTTCGCATGATGTAAAATATAAAATTAAAATTCTCTGTCGCTTCACGTTTTATAATTTTTTATTTAAACCGCAAGGAAATTGCCAAAACTTTGACAGCCAAGTCTAACTTGGGTTTTTTAACCGGCGGACTACGAAGGGCAAATTTGAAACCGCGTGAAGGGTAATTTCGTCATTTTACTTTAGATTGGTTTGGGTATGAACCTGGAATCATTACCATTTTCCGAAAATAAAGTGGTATTTGGGTGGCAATTCAGTAATTTGGAACTGAAAAAGGCGCAACTGAAGTTCGTTAACTATAAAATGGAGATTTCTGTTGTATTATTGTTATATAGTTTGTGCGGGCTCTTATAGGAAGCGACATACTAAACAAGAGCTTCTGTTGTTTGGCGGGAAAGTTGTGAATTGCAGATACGAGTTTTAACGCTCTGAATTTTCTTTTTTTTTTTTTTTTTTGGGGGCGCGGAAATGGCTGATCCATTGCATGCTTCATCTCCTGCCAGTTTCTGGACTCAGGCCAACGCTTTGTTAAGAAAGAACTTAACCTTCCAGGTCTCTGTCACCTCTCTCTCTCTATATATATATATGTGTGCGTGTGTGTATTTTGTTTTGCTGATCGGGCAGAATTTATGTTTGGTTCTTGCTATGTTGATTTAATCCTCTGTATTATTCTTTTTTTTTTGTTTTTATGTTTTTCTCGTTGGATTACGGATTCTTTCTGGCTTCTTATACCTGAGTTCGACGTTTTTGCGGGATTAGGTCAACCATTTCTAGTTAATATCTTAATTTACTTATGCCTTGGAGAGGTTCGACTTTGATGATGCTAAATTCAGTGGTTGGATTAATATAACCTATGATGCAAATAATTTTATTGTGGATGTGATGATTGTTTGAATTTTCTTGGATACTTTAAGTTTAAAGATATTTGGTTTTTGCCGTTAATATGTGTCTATGATCTACAATTTTCATCAGAAACGGAATATCTGGACCAACATCAGGCTCATTTCAATCCCAATTGTCCTATGTCTGCTACTTGTTGTCATCCAAATCTTGTTTGAGACCCAATTCAAGGATTCCACTGAGTGTGGCTGTGGGTGTATCGACACAAATGGGGATGGTCAATGTGAGAGAACCTGTGGTTTGCAATCTCATCTTTGAGTCAGGCAGCAAATTGTCCCATTCCGAGTCCCCCAGAGTGGCCGCCATTATTACAAATACCAGCTCCTGAGTATCGTGCTGTAAGAACTAGTTTTCTTCCGTCTAAAGACTTGCCAAATGCATCATGCAGGAATTCAGGATCATGTCCTGCAACTACACTTCTTACTGGGAGTAATCAGTCACTTGGAGAAAGTACGTCTCTTTCTTGCTAACCTTCCTTGTGTGTCCAAGCTTAGTTATTATTATTTTTTAAAAATTCAAGTATCTATTCTGACGAGGATACGAGCATCAATTTATATGTGTGGTCTGACAACAATCTGTCTACTTGGCAGCTCTTTCTGCGAATATGTTCTCTAATCTTTTTCCTCTCAGTTCTTCTGGTGTTGCGAGTAGTTTAGCCAACTTCGTCCTGGTATGACCTGCTTCTTCCCACCCTCTTCCCCCCCAAAAAAATTTTCAATAGATTATGATTCTTCCTTTCTAGTTGTGCTTAGTTTTCTCTCTGTAATTTCCTAGCTTTTCTGCTTATAGGCTTCATAATATATTTCAGGGTACTGCTTCTGAGACCACTTTTTCCAATTTCCTTGATCCTGCATTCTTTGCATCTCGTCCCATCTATAACATTCAACGCCAGTGCACAGCAAACTCTACATTTTCAGTTCCCATTCAAGAACTAGGCTTGCAACAAGGTATTTAAATTTTGTTCTTACATCAGTGATTTTTCGCGAAAACATTAGTTTATGCAATTTGAAGGTGATGATCATCTGGTATAACATTGATGGGCATGGACTGGTTGATTGTAAGTGATAAGGAAATGTGACATGAGGAATCCTGGTAAATTGGACATACACGTGCAATGAAAAAATTGTGTATACATCTGCTTTTGCATGGGGTGTGACTCAAAGTATGTTTAAACATGGTGAATCTGCACATGTATAAATGCATACAAAAAAGTTACAGACTTCTATTCAACATAAATTATTTTGACGACCGTTGGCGCCATCGTTATCCATTCATCAAGTGGGTTCAAACTATATGATAGCAATAAGTTATCCTGAATTAATATAACAAAAAACTAGAATATAGGATTTATAATTCGTCTGAAAAATACTTTATATATTTATCGAAGTCATATATATATATTTAAAAAATATTGCACCAATTTCTTTATTTCAACCACTCTTTCTGATTAAAATTCAAATGAAATCCTTCCCCTTATAATTCTTTGAATAGAACCTATAATTTATTGGGTTGGTATTGGTTGGATTTTAGGTACAGATTGTGGGTGTTGAATATGGGTATGCCTCTTCTAATCAGATAGTCATGCCAAATAGATGTGTATTAGGTTAACTGATTGATAAACATACAGCAGATTCTATACCTTCTTTAGCATCCTGAAACTTCTTTATTGACATCAATTGGAGGCAAATACTAGAGTTTAAATATTTAACGCATGAGAATGATATAAATGATATGTCTATGTTTGAAATAAGAGGTGGACCTAGCTAATGACAGGTGGTACTGAGCCCCATTTGGAGGGGGTCAACATTGTATGGACCTTGTGGTCCCTTATGGGGTCTGGAACCACAAACAAGAGACATGTATCTTCTAGTTCATAAGGGTCTGGACCTTATATATGGATCTAACAGGCTATAAAATCAACTAATGATTTCCTGACAGACCCTACCAGTGGGAACTACAAATACTATCCTGTTGTTATACTTTACCTTCTTACTTGCAAGGAACTTTATGAGCTTTAATTATTCTCTTTTTTGTCCAGAGGTGAGATGTGCTCAAGGTCTATATTTGTGGCGTAATACTTCTTCCAAGGTGAATGATGAGCTATTTAAGGGTTACCATAGAGGCAATTCAGAGGGAAAGATAAATGAGATTGTTGCAGGTTTGTCTACATGATATTTAACTGCATTAAACAAAATGGTTGCTAACCAATTTTTGATACTGAAACTCTGACTTTTATACAGCTTATGATTTCTTGAACTCAAATAGATTTAATTTCAACGTGACCATCTGGTACAACTCAACATATAAGAATGAATCAGGGAATGTACCCCTTGCATTAGTGCGAGTTCCACGCTCGGTTAATCTGGTATATCTTGGAATTTATTGATTTGAGTTTTCCTCATTATCTTGGATAAACTGTGTTACATTATTTGCATCTTTTATGTGCCTTAATTCTTTTGTATGATTTATTTTCTCACTTTCCGGAGATTTAAATATCTTTTATTTATTTCCTCGAAAAAAGAAAGAATCTATTGTTATTTGATGAATCCTGATACTGATGATTTTTGGATTATAGGCATCCAATGCATATATTCAGTTTTTGAAAGGTCCCGGGACGCAAATACAATTTGACTTTGTTAAAGAAATGCCCAAGCCGGAAACTAAACTCAGACTGGATATTTCATCCCTTATTGGTCCACTTTTCTTTACATGGGTTATTCTACAGCTATTCCCAGTAAGTATGTCTAACTGCTTTTCATTTTTGTTGTGAGCACCAATCTTATTCCCCAGTATCTGAGGTTTCTTCCTGTTATGATTCCAGTTATTTGTGCTATGTCTCTTCAAAACCAATTTCAAGTCATGTCTATCATCTTTTGTCTATGTTTCCTCATGTTTGCATTTGATGTAGGTGATTTTGACGTCTCTGGTTTATGAGAAACAACAGAAATTGAGAATCATGATGAAAATGCATGGACTTGGTGATGGACCTTATTGGATGATTTCGTACGCGTATTTTCTTACGACGTCCATACTCTACATGCTATGTTTTGTGATATTCGGCTCGGTGATAGGTAATACATCCTGCAGTCAATGTATTTCTTATCTCTTCTTCTTATAAGTTGATCTTAAGTTGGTTTACTTCTTGACAGGGTTGAACTTCTTCAGGCTTAATAACTATGGCGTCCAATTTGTTTTTTACTTTATCTATATAAACCTCCAAATTGCAGTGGCTTTTCTAGTAGCGGCAGTGTTTTCAAATGTTAAGACAGCTACAGGTATATTTTCTATTTGTAATGAAAATAATACTTTCTTTTTTCCTTCAACACAACTGACTTTCTATTTTGCTAAATGGACATGATCACAGTTGTAGCATACATATGCGTTTTTGGAACTGGGCTCTTGGGTGTCTTCCTTTTCCAATTCTTTCTTCAAGATCCTTCATTCCCAAGTAAGTTCAAGAAATTGTAAGGAATACTTGCTCTGATGTTGTTCACAAGGTCTGAAAAGTATATTTTATTTGTCTGTTTCAGCACCGAGACCTACTGTTTAAGGATATGATCCAAAATTATTCATCTGTATTCTGTATTTTATTTGGATCTTTTCTTCACAAAACCGTTAGCACTGAGGCTTAATTTTCTGATGTTGTAGCGAGGTGGATTGTTGTACTTGAGTTATATCCTGGCTTCGCTCTGTACCGTGGGTTATATGAGTTTTCACAATATGCCTTCTTGGGGAATTTTAGGGGGACTGAAGGGATGCAATGGAGCGATATTGGTGATAGTGGGATGAAAGAAGTCCTTCTTATTATGCTAGTTGAGTGGTTGGTGGTGCTTATTGTTGCATATTATGTAGATCAAGTTTCTTCTTCAGGAAGTGGAAGAAATCCTCTATTTTTCTTGAAAAAGCTTCAGAAGAAACCTCTATCTTCTTTTAAAAAGCCTATTTTTCAAAGCCAGGGGTCAAAAGTGTTTGTTCAGATGGAGAAACCAGATGTCAGTCAGGAGGTAACTTCTTGTTAAATTTTGTATTCAGTTTATTTAGGGTTTGGTTTTCAAAGATGTCAATAAGCACCAAGCAAATGCTAATATCCGAAACAAAAAAGTTTTTTTTTTTTTGGTGAAATGTTACAAAATGACTATTTGAACAATTATGAAAGCAAATTTTTTGATCTTCTTTCTCTTTTCTATTAGTAAATTTTACTTTTTATTATACTTTTACTCTTTTCCTTGTCTTTAATCCTCTTGACTCTTTAAAATAGCACTTCGGAGAGGACGAATGCAGTCTTTCTTTATTGTAATTATTTAGCAGTTTCAAATGCTAACATTCCTTTTGGTATTGACCTGACATATTTCTTTCCTATTAGACTTGTTTGATCGCTTTCAGTTATCTGCTAATTTTTTTTTTCCTAATTAATTCTTCTTCCAGAGAGAAAAGGTTGAAGAATTGTTACTTGAATCAAGCACAAGTCATGCCATACTATGTGACAACCTTAAGAAAGTGTACCCAGGGAGGGATGGGAACCCTGCAAAAATTGCTGTAAGAGGATTATCTCTTGCTTTGCCTCGAGGGGAATGCTTTGGTATGCTGGGTCCAAATGGTGCAGGCAAGACGTCTTTTATTAGTATGGTGAGTGTAAAATGCTTTTTAATAGACTCTTATTAACTTAATCATGAAAATTTCTTGTATCTTACCCTTATATGCGGGATCAACGAACCATTAAGAAGTAAGAAATAGGAAGAGTTAGATAGAAATTCCTGGTGGGCAATTGTTAAAAATTTGCATTTTGCTTCTGCTAGCATGGCTTAATGGGTATTGTTCATTCTTTAGTGAGATATTATAGGCTTCTGTTGAAAGAAGTTGTGGCTTTAAATTTGCTTCTCCTTCGTTGGTTTCTTTTCTATTTATATACTTCACGATTTCAGTGGGGCATTTGCTTTTTAGTCATAAAGTTTAGGTTTTTCTTGAGCTTTGCACCAGTATTAATCATTATTTCCTTGGCAGATGATTGGACTCACAAAGCCAACATCTGGGACAGCATTTGTTGAGGGTCTGGATATACGAACCGATATGGATGGAATATATACTAGCATGGGCGTATGCCCACAGTACGAGTAAGCTAATAAATCATTTTGGTGGCAAGAAATAGATATTCTTTTTCCTTTTTCATATGCAAAATATGCAGTAGGGTTCATTTTCTCTCTCTCCCCCCGCCCAAAACTAATCCTTGCATTTCAGCTTGCTGTGGGAAACCCTGACAGGAAGAGAGCATTTACTATTTTATGGCAGACTTAAGAATCTGAAAGGTTCTGCTCTGACACAAGTAAGTGAAGATAACCATTTACTTTTTCTGGAAATTTGGAGCTTGTTGGATTATTTGTAATATGAGAAATCATTTATTTTTCTAGCTATAAGTCATTCGCGTTTATATTGTCTAGGAGGAAATCAATAAATTATGAACCATAACTTTATGAGTCTAAATGTTTAGAAGTATAAGTCCACTATTTAATCTTTAATTGTTTGACGAAATATGGTGGATTATATTTTTAACCATTGCATGTCAATTTTGCTGCCTGCTATTAAACTTAATGCGGGGTTCAATTTTCCACAAAGGATACAGTACGAATATGAAATAAAAACTGACATGCAGAATTCAAGTTTTAGTTTCAAATTTTTTGTGATAAAAAATGCTGAAGGAGGATGTTATGTGCATTAACCAGACAGGGCATACTTTGTTTGCCTATGAGGCAAATTTCAGAAGGTACTTGAGTTCTTTGACAATACAAGGGTCTTTTGTTTTTAAGATAAATTTGTATAGGTACCTAGATATATGTCAGTTTAGTCTAATCTTTTGTGTTTTGGCAAAGATGTGAATGTGTCTCTGACACTTGTAGTTTGATTCACTCTTCCATGTTAGATGCATGTGTGTGTACCATGTAAAAATATGCTAATTTACCTTAGTAAAGTTTGATTCTACATTTAATCTTGTGTATTTGCTTGCACACCCAGCTAATTTTCTTGTGCAAGTGTAGAGAGAGAGTTGGCACAAACTTTTAGTCTTGTTTGCATGTTTGATGCACGTGCGTAACAGTTACTATTTGACATATGCTAGTCTACTTTGGTCTAGGACAAGTGGCTCTGAGCTGACATGTCTGCGGATAGTGTCTTTGATGTATGTGTCCTTTCAATGACGCATGAACCTAGATGATGTAATAAGTAAAAGTACATGAATGCATGGATTTATATGCTGACCCTTAAGACTTCTGCATATAAGTTTTATTTGCAATGAATAATGGTAAATGTATGCATGTGATCTTTCAACATCCCCTGCTTGATTTTAATTCAGTATCCTAGCATATATATTTTATTGGCTCTAGGATGAAATGTGCATTGGTAAATGTACCATAAGGGTTTGAACCTTTTCATATTGCAAATACATAATAGTTTTCTAGAAACTAAGTTAGCTATCTTGAAATTCAGAGTCAAGTATGAAGTAAGTCGATAAACCTTGAATTTAGAACTCTCAATCTTTCCCAAGTGAACAAGTTTTGAACTAAGAACTCATGTTGAAAGCGAAGAACGTCACACAGACGTTGCTTTTAGAGATTTTCATGCTTCTACTGCTGGCACTTTTATAGTATGTGCTTAATCCCTAAACTACTTAGTGCCCCAGATCAAATCTCACATGAATTTGCTAGGTTCATCATTTAGATAGGTAAGTCTAAAAAGTGGGTGTCTTGTCATACACTACCAAAATGGTTTGCACACTTACGGCTCATATTTATAAATAGGAGAAAACAAACAACAGAGATGGAGGTGACTCTTATTTCAATAAAGGCAATAGTGGATATATGGCTATCTTCCATTGGATCTATAATTTCTACAGGTTGAAATTCTGTTACCTACAACCTTAGTTACATAGTTTACTTCCCATCTTGTTTTCTCTCAAATTTGATCAAGTATCTTCCTGAACTCTTGATAAAGAATCTGTTAAATTGATCTTAGGTTGCACATACTGAATGGCTAGTGTTTCATTCAGAATTAGCTCCTTCACATGAGACCGCTGCGATCTTTTTACCAATGATCTAGCAAAGGCAACAGGTGGTTTAGCTTTCTACTGAAAAGTTATGCTTTTCTTGGTGAATTTTGTGGCTAGGGCTCTGGTTATGGGTCGGTTGGTACGATCAGAGCCTGTTGACGGTAGTGGCCGGTGTTCATATACATCCAATGTTGGCCAGAGATCTATAATTTCTGGTTTTGAGGGAAGGAGTTATGCTGAAAGCAGTGGCTGCCCGCTGTGGGATAGTTGCGTAGCTGTTTGGCTGTTTTTTTTCTAATTCTGTCTTCAACTTTTTTTAAAAAAATATAAAGGAAGAGTCCTATTGTTTTGCAGTGGAAGGATATGAAGTTCCAAGTTCTTTTTTATTCTTTTGTGTAACATAATTAGCAAAGAAGGTAGGATAAAATTTAGGCT